AAAAAAAAAAAAAAAAAGTTGAGCACAGGTGCTACCACTGCTGCTACTACTATTAGACCATTTTTTGGTGACAAAGTCAAAGATTTAAGGTTACTAAATCAGACTGAATATTTTCAGTTTGACAAATTACACTGTACTTTCCTTACTCCAACATTGACGGTCCACATTTAACTTTGAAAATCAGACTGGGCCAGGCACAGTGGCTCACATCTGTAATCGCAGCACTTTGGGTGGCTGAGGTGTGCGAATCACTTGAGGTCAAGAATTCAAGACCAGCCTGGCTAACGTTGGGGAAGCCCTGTCTCCGCTAAAACATAGTCACCCATGGTGGCAGGTGCCTGTAATCCCAGCTACTTGAGAACCTGGAGGCAGATGTTGCAGTGAGCCGAGATCATGCCACTGTACTCCAGCCTGGTCGACAGTGAGACCTTGTGTCAAAAAAAAAAAAAAAAAGCTATTTGTGAGAACCAGGAAGATATCCCCCTAGTCATATCCCCTAAAAATTTTCAGGTTTTGGATTCTCCAAGACCCGAGTTTAGCTGGGGCTACCTCAGGTGCTGCAGAAACCTTCCATTTCCTCAGCTCTTTCTGAAATAGCACGAAGACTTTATGGCTATCCTCCTTTCCCCTTGATTATTCCTGTTTTTCAAGCAGATCTAGCTAATTTCCATGATTAAGGCTAAATATTGGATCACTATTTGCTTCCCCCTTCCTCCACTTTTTCTTTCAGGCTTATACATTTGTAAGGCCCTCATTGTTCAAATAAATCAGACGCAGTAAAGCAATTAAATTGTTTAATTTCAGGCCATCTCACTGGGCTCTATTTTTCCTTCAGTTCAGCATCTGATTGGGACCTGGAGGTGTTCTGTGGTTTCCTAAGGTACTGTGAATGTCATGAGCATGTTTCCTCAGGGGATCTAGTAGTTCGTTTCTAGTCACTGACACCTTTAACCTTGACCAAAGGATACCTTAAGTAACCATCTCAATCCTTGATACTCCAGCTCCTCTAGAATATCTTCATAACTTTTGCAGTCACTTTATAGGTAAATTTACATTTTTCACAACTAGATACAGTTTCTACTGGGTATTTGGGAGGTGGGGGTTGGATTAAAGTCCCTTTCATTTGTAACTTGTCATGAATCTGGTTGGCCTGAGTGGGCTTATTGACTAAATGTTTTCAATTTTCAAAAACAGTATGGCATTAAAGGACATGGGACATAGGAGTTCGGGTTTGTGGTCTAGTCCTAGTTTCACCAGTAAGTGTGACCTTGAGTGCTTTCCTTTTCAAATAAGCTAAGAAAAGGGAATTTCTCAATTCCTCTAGCTGCAGCTTTCAGGTTTCTTGCAACAACTGCTTAGGTCCTGCTTAGGGGCACACATCCTGCTTAGTAAGCTCTTAGGTTAAGACCTTAAGTGTTTAAATAAAAACGGATTCAAATTTGGGTCCACCACTGAAGAGCTCTTAGACTGTTAGACTTACAGAGGCTCAGTTTACGTAAATGCAGCATAGGCTTAATAAATAGTCCCGACCCTAACATTGAGGTTAAAATTACCTATCCTGGTATCTAACACAATAGCAAATGCTTGACAATTTTTTTCCTCTCCTGTTAAATCTCTGAAGTCTTCTAGTACTCTCCTTTATCTAGTAAGAACTAAGTCTAGGTGTTTCCTATGCCTTACCTGTTCTGATAACCTAGTTGGCCTAAGATGCAAACCATCTTTTTAGGTTTCTTTCATTCATTAGTTTACTTGCTTGCCACTTTTACAGGGCAAAGTACATTCTAGACAAAATTTCTTCTGTTAATGTCTTTTATTCAATCGCCTCTCATTTGCTGACCAATTCCCTTATTTTTTAAATTTTTGTGGGTAGTTTTGATGTAGGCATGCAATGTGAAATAATCGTTATCATGGAGAATGGGGTATTAGCCCCTCAAACATTTATCCTTTGTTACAATCATTTTTCAATGTACAATTATTGACTATATTCACCCTGTTGTGCTATCAAATAGATCTTTTTTTTGTATCCCAAACACAACCAAATTACCAAAGCCAAAAGTATCCTTGGTGCAGGAAGTGATTCTGACCTTTCATCTGTGATGACGGACTTTTTCCCTCTACTTCTGTCCAAGGACAGCAAAAATATGCCTTAATGCCTTGCTTGCATCAGCAGCCCCAAGGCCAAGCTGAGCAGCTAGAGTTCCTTCCAGTCTCCCAGATTTTATAGCTCCAGGAGAGATTACATCCTTGCACAGGAGAAATAGAAACTGTCCTTCCCCATTATCAATGGAATAATGTAGTTCAGTTTGCAACAAAGAGAAACATGAAAATATCATAGGTAGGATAATGTTTTACATACATGCCAGCGTGCCCCTTCAACTGGCTTTCATCTTTCATTAGCTTCTAGATAATGGAAAGGCTAACACAATTAACTTTAAACAAATTTTTATTACACAAAGGTTGTCACATAATTGGATATTTCTCTACTTTGTACACAATTATTCTCACTCTCCACAGAAAGGCTGCCTAACTTCTCATCTGGCGGTGGCAAGCACTAAAATCCTGATTTTAACAGAATAGTAGTAAAAATGCCTCAGTGATTTAAGTTGAAAGCAGTACACTGGTACATGGCTCTTGTACCCAGTATCAGGAATGTACAAATGTCTTTTTATTCAAAAATACAAAATAAATTATCTGTAGGCATGGACAATGACAGCAATAAACCATTATGTATTTTGTCAACTGAAACCAGTAACTGATGGTTATAGTGATGTCTTAAACATCAGCCAGCCTTTTCTTCATTTTCTCCAACTGACTTCTCTGAAGTTATTGGTGAGGAACACTGCCTTGGGCTTCCTGTCACAGTTCAATAATAAAGGTAAAGCACTATTCTAGGAGTTAGAACATGCCACCTCCCATACCACCTCCCATTCCACCCATTGCACCCATTCCAGGGTCCTTCTCTTCTTTAGGAATTTCTGTGACAACAACTTCTGCTGTAGTTAACAGAGAGGCCACACCAGCAGCATCCAATAAAGCAGTTCTCACAACCTAGAAAAAAATTTAATTAAACGTTAGTTTTCCCTTAGTAAAATATGATAAGACTTACTGAAAATTTCTGACCGGCAGGCGCAGTAGTTCACGCCTGTAATCCCAGCACTTTGGGACGCTGAGGCAGGTGGTAAAACCTACCCAAGATGGTGAAACCCTGTCTCTACTAAACACAAAAATTAGCCAGGTGTGGTGGCACAAGCCTGTAATCCCAGCTAGTTGGGAGGCTGAGGCAGAGAATTGCTTGAACCTAGGAGGTGGAGGTTGCAGTGAGCCAAGACTGTGCCATGCACTCCAGCCCAGGCGACAGAGCAAGACTCTGTCTAAAAAAAAAAAAAACAGAACAGAACAGAAAACTTCTGTAATCCCAGCACTTTGGGAGGCTGAGGCGGGTGGATCACTTGAGGTTAGGAGTTCCAGACCAGCCTGACCCAACACGGTGAAACCTCATTTCTACTAAAAACACAAAAGTTAGCCAGGCATGGTGGCACATACTTGTAATCCCAGCTATTTGGGAGGCTGAGGCAGGAGAACAGCTTGAACCTGGGAGGTGGAGGTTAGAGTGAGCTGAGATTGCACCAGTGTACTCTAGCCTAGGAGACAGAATGAGACCCCATCTCCAAAAAATACATATATATATTTAAGTGCTGGAGATTTACATGAGAATTGTTGATGGGCACAAGTGCTACTGCTGTTAAGACTTTTTTTTTTTTTGGTGACAAAGTCAAAGATTTGGGATGTGGGGATATACTAACAAAATGAACAACAAAAGAATTTTTAGAAAGTGTTCAACTATTTACCTTTGTTGGGTCAATAATTCCTTTTTCCACCATATTCACAAAATCTCCAGCCATAGCATCATAACCAACTTCTGAGGAACTTTGCATAATTTTCTCAACTATCAAAGATCCTTCAACACCTGCATTCTTAGCAATGGTCATTGCTGGAATTTTGAGTGTTCTTTTAATAATTTCT